TGCACATACATACATTTACTTCAAACATTGTGGATATTTGGAGAGACAGAGAGAAAAGAAACATAATATATAATACCATAGCGAACATATCCGAGTATTCTGAGGAAATGTAGTGAATATATATTATTGATATATCAGATAATTGAAACATACTTCGATTAAGTAAAGAATCCGGAGATACTAAATTGTTGATAAATATGCCACTTAGATTCATATAATGATAAACATTCTTAGCTTACCAAGGAAATTGAGCATGGTTGTATATTAAACTTTAAAGTGTGCTATATAGAGCAAGAGAATCAAACTAGTTAATGTATGATTAGTGAGATTGCAGGATATTGCAAGACAATTCTAACGATGAAGTGCAATGAAGAAGGTTTAAAGTTGTTACCAAATCTACATGGATACAACGGAGTGGAGTGCAGATTAAACATAAAAAAGTTTCTAGGTTTAACACCTTTTCAGAGACTGACTCAATGATGGATCATGCGAAACGGTACCTGACAAATCTATGTGTATGTTCTCTGAATTAGTCCAGGCAGAAATCTCCTTGTGTTGGGGTTCTTTGGCAGATTCCAGTGTTCGCGAGGCAAAGGTTCGGATGCTCTCTTTCAGCAAGTGTGTTGTGATGCCTTTGATTTGCTTTCATTAAGCTGCGACCAGATTATCACACAGCGTCGCCTGAGAACACGTTGCCTATTCCTTCGTCAGGCAGCCGATAGGGCAGGTGACGCTAGGTGGCATGAGCCCTGCAACAGGTAATGCTGCTAATCAACATACTGACGATTTCAACCTTGGTAACGACGAAAAACCCGTCACCGTTGCAGATCCGCCACGACAACCACAAGCTCGTGTCCTGGAGAAGGAGATCCTGAACGAGCGACACCACGTGACAGTCGTTCCTGTCTACTGTGGCTTGGCTGCTGGTGATGTCAAAGCAAGGGCCCGTCTGCTGGTTCCAGTCGTACCCGTGGAACACACTGCCCGGACTGCACTCGGTGTTCAGACAGCCCACGGGAGAGCTGGAGCAGAATGACCCCGTCGAGCCTGTGTTCAGCGGGATATCGTTGGGCGACGTCCTGCAGATGAAATAGTAGTCCCCCAAAACCTCCCTGTACAGGCCGACAGCAGCGCCGTTGTTGTTGCAGCGGGAAAACTTCTCGACTTTCCTGGTGTGCGTGTTGCTGAGGGACGGCTGGCCAACAGTTGGCAAAGGCGCCGACGTGGTTGTCTGAGAGACCGAGAGGCGCGCTTGGTTAGTCTCATGGAGGTGGTTTGATCTGCGATGCTTAGTTTTGCAATGCGTTTTTTTGAGGTTATGGGAAAGAAGTGAATCATTTCACGTTCAATGACATTTACAATATGTTTAAGTTTTAACTATATATATACAATTTTTTATTTTATTATTTTTTTATTATTATTTTATTTTATTATTATTATTATTATTATTATTATGATTATGATTATGATTATTATTATTATTATTATTATTATGATTATGATTATGATTATTATTATTATTATAATCATTATTTAATTTTATCATTACTGATATAACTTTAATTTACAATTATTATTGTTATTATCATTATTATTATTATTATCAATATTATTATTATTATTATTATTATTATTATTATTATTATTATTATTATTGTCATCAGCGTCATCACTTCTTGTATTATCAATACCTTTATAATTATTATAATTACCATTCATAGTTTTTCAATATTATCATCAGTATTATCAATCATTATCATTATTACTATAATTTTTATCATTATCATTATTTTGGCAATATTATCATCATTATCGCATATATTATTATAACAATCATGATGATCTTGATAATCAATATGAGTATCATCATCTCTCACTATGTTATCACTGTTTATTTTTATTATCAACTTTATTTTGTATACTAGAATAATTATTATCGTTAACATCTAATTGGTCTCATCATTATCATTGTATTCAATATCATTTCTTTTTTTGCTATCATTATTACTACTTTATCATCACCGACATGTTATCAGTATCAACACAAACAGAAGAATCCTATAAGGCGCCTAATCATTGCAAAAAGTAACACCAAAAGCTAGCTAAAATCACATTATTTTTACCAAAAAAAGAGAAACATGAAGATATATTTACCATCGCGGTGTTTCCTCCGGCGCCGGGTATTTCGCTCACTGTGGGGAAGAGGAATAGATTTTGAATTCCAAACCAAGAAAAGATGAAATTGGCAACTCGAATCCTCGAGTACCCCGATTCGGTATGTCGCATTTTTTTTTTTCTTTCTTTCTAATGTGATCACCTGACTCTTAAGACGTGTGTGTTCGAACTTTAAAACTTACCAATAATATCTTGTAACTTTTCTTAGCGAAATTTGCTGCCTCCGCCATCGCATTATTATTATTATTTTTAAATCTTAAAAATGATTTAAAATATTTACAAATTAAAAAACAAACTTAGCGAATTGGAGGACACGAGAACCTTGCGACGAGTTGCCAATTTCCTTTCCAGAAAGTTTCCTACCACATTATCCGTTATCGTTTCTGATCTTATTATTATTGCACTGGGATTATCGTTTGTTAGTAAATAGTTACATATTCCCCCCTGCCCAGGTCTAACTCATGAATGAAACCCGTGGCCCTTTATTTAAGGACATTTAGACTACCTCGCCCAGGTGAAGATTCGTGTAGAGGCAAATTTCACTGCAATGTTCGTGCAATTAACTGAAATAAAAAACGGTAAATATTCAGAATATCGTGATCGGCCATGTAAAGGTATTCTGAGCAATTACCTGGGTGACTCGCGAATGCATTGAAAGAAGTAATTTCAGCGTTTTTATTTTCATCGGGAGAGCTGTCAGCCACTTCACCGGTATTGCACGCAGCCCTTATTTTTGTATTGACATTTTATGAGATTTCATTTCGACTTCTTTCGAGGTAAAATTTCAAATAATTTTTATTTCAGTTAATAGCACGAAATGCAGGGAAATTCAGTTGCAGTGACATTTTTAATGGCAGAAGTAGTAGAGTAGTAATATAGTGTTGATAATTATTGTCATAGCAGTAATTGTAATAATAATGATAATGATCATGATAATAATCGTCATAATTATATTTGTAATAATAATAATCATAATCATAATCATAATAACAATAATCATAATAATTATTACTATTATTATACTAATGATAATAATGTTTATTATAATAATGATGATAATAGTGATAATAATGTTAATTCGAATAATGTTTACACTACTACTACTAATAAAGATGATGCTAATAGCGATAATAATGATTATGATAATTATCATTATCGAATCATCATTATTATTATCATTTAGAATCATCATTACTAATATTATTATTCCTTTGATAAATACCCCTCTTTACTGTTGTTTGTATTTACCATTATCATCATTACTATTATCATCATTATTGATTATTATTATATCATCAATATTATCATCATCATTACTATTCTTATCAATATTGTCCCTACCTTTATTACTAGTTCTACTACTACCAATTACCACTATCATCAGTATCGTTGTTGTTATTATTCTCATTTTTCTTATTTCTAGTCTTATCATAATTATCCTTCTTTATCGTTACCGTTATTACTATTACTATTATTATGATATTAATGGCAATGATCATCAATATTTTCAGTATTATTATCATTATTATGATTATCACTATCACCAGCTCCACCATCCTTATCATTACTGTGGCTGCCATGATCGCCTGGCTTCCTTATCAGTTCATCCGAAAACTGACTGATCTTGTGTCTGTCTCTTTTATTCTCAGTCATGATAAGCAAAGGAAGTTCCTGGCAGCTTCCTCCGGCCCCCGAAAGCTACATCGAGAAGCTGACACGCCGCCTTCGTTCCAGTTTTATCCCCAGCTGTTGGGCGAAGCAGTGGCATAGCTCGATGGTCGTGCGCTGGTTTCACAGGGACTAGGTCGTGCGTTCGCGTGTCTACGTTCCTCTCAGTCGACTCAGTTGCGAGTACTGGTATGCTGACATCAGGATGCTAGAGTCGAAATCGGGGCGGAAAGGAACTGGCCACCCTACTGCATCGTCCCGCCTGTTCCCCAACGGACAGGTCACTTGCGTCTGACATAGGCATGGGACTTAACATTGACTTCAATTGAGTGAAGAGGAAAGAGCTCTCCTTTATGTCGAAGATTTTGAGATGATCCTCTATCTGGCTAGATCAGTTTTGCATCCTTCGCGTATAGGTTCTAGTCTTCTCACCGCCTTTTTAATATTTGCTGCTAATGGAAGTTTTCCATAGAGCCAAAAGTTCGAAGATTGGTATTATTAAGAGCCTCGCAACGCTTTTCTCGTTGAATGCGGTCCACGTCCTTCTTCTCTTCATTTTAACGCCACGATAAACTGCATAAAACCGCAGACAAGACCATTTTATCCGGTTATACGCCTCCACCTACCTGGAAAATAACAAGGAATGCTTGATGCGTTGTCAGGGGGAGTGAACCGGCTGTGCATCTCGCAGCGGGGACTCTCGTAGCTGAAGCCGCGACACTGACTACCTGTTGAAATTAAACAGGTTTTGAGGGGAGGAAGGAGGAATGTCTGACTGTGGGAAGCAGAATAGGTCTTGGGGAAAACTGTAGCCTGCGGAGACAGTGACAGGGGTAAAGGTAATTGAAATAGGTGGTCGGTGTGAGATGTAATGAAGATGGGGAAGGAATATGTATATGCACTTCTGTGTAAATACATATATAAGAGTGCACACGCGCACGCACACGCACATACAAACAAACACACACACACAAACACACACAAACACACACACATACACACAAACAAACAAACAAACAAACACACACACACACAAACACACATATATGATATACATATGTATGTGTGTATAACACTGACTCGCGGTGCAAATCATGGCAGCGGAGACGAGTGAGCGCGCAGAGCAGGAGGCGAAGGCGTCGCCGCAGCCGCCACTT